AAAAAAAAGATTACTGAAGCCTAGTGAATGTTCCGAAGGAAGAACTATTTCGGCCGAACTGAAAGTCAGAACCTCCCAAACAGGGCGAAACAAAAATGAATAATAATTGGTTTTGTAACCCCAATTCAAGGGAGTTCAGATGTTAAAGCTGGAAATGGTCGCCCCAATGACAAGAGTTGAGCTGGCAGCTATCTCCTCCTCCCTGTGGCATGTACTGGGTGTGACCTAGGCTGTGCATTGCTACTGTTCTCTTGAGCGCATCTGTTCGTCACCTTTCTGCCAAGTGTTTTTTCTTTTGTTGTTGTTGGTTTGGCTTGTAATTCTTTTTCCCCAGTGAAAGAACAACATCCATGAATTTGGAAATGGGCGATTTAGAAATTGTATATCCAGAAGGAGAGGTGATAAGGCTTGAGGTGGCTGGCCTGTAAGCTTCACGTATGTCAAGAGTCACAAATAGGGGCAATAAGGCAGGGTCATCACTGACCAGTTTTCTCTTTCCCTAATGGGTCCGGGGAAGATGTGGATACGATTATAGGAATTCGAGTGTAGGTAATTGTTCATGGAGCTGCAATTGGTAAGCCCTCAAATGTTTTTGTCTTATTCACTTATAAGATGAAAATGGGGATTGCACACTTTCCATTGTAGGCACGTAGTTGATCCTGTTGGGGGCACGTATGGCTTTATCATTGCTTTGGAGGTGATGTCTGGTTAAAGAGTGGTGTACAGGTGTCAAGTTGAAAAGGTGGTGGTTTGTGATGGCTAGATTGTATGTCAGCTGGCACTGTGTGGATGTCTAGGTGCAGCGCAGCTCAGGTCACAGCCTGGGGAGGTCTCCTTGGGGATAGAGCCTTTTGATAAGACACACTGAGGAGCAGGGAGCCCTCTTGTGCCATTCGCCCTCCTGCTGCGCATCGCGCTCTGGGATTGGCAGCCCCCACTACCTGCCCACCCTGGAGCTATAGTGCACTGCCACATTCCTGAAGGTTTTAATCCACATGGCTCTGCGCCCTCTGGCTGGTGGTGCTATTTCTTCCTGCTTCACTGCCTGGCAACTGCCCGGGTCGGAGAGTCCTAAGCTAGCATCGGATTCAGGGAACAAACTATTTTTGTACTGGGGTACGATTTAAGTAGAGACCCAAAGTCCATCTGCTTCCTTGTTTTTACACACACACACACACACACACACTCACACTCACACATATACATACATTGACAAATAGACCTATCATTTTATATTTACCATATATACCCAAGTATAAGCCGGCCCGAATATCAGCCAAGGCACCTAATTTTACCACAAAGACTGCATAAAAAATGGGCTGAAAAACTCAAGCTTATACACAGTGTATAAATATATATTTATACCTATATGTATCATTTGTACTTTCTTGTTCTTTCCTCTTTCTTTTTCCTTCCCTCTCGCCCCACTATCCTGTTTCCCCATCGTTTACCTCTCAGCAATTCCTTACTGTATTGCTCTGTAGTTGTGATCGCCATGAAAGTTCCGTTGGGGCCCTCCCCGACACTTGTGAATGGAGTGACGAAAAACTCATAGACAGACTGGGGCTGTAGGTGTTTCACCACGAATGTTTTTTGTTCTGGATCATTAATTTTGTATTTGCAATAGGATGAATTATCTGTGATTAAAAAAAAGTATTTTCAAGGAATGAAAGGGGTGAGAGTATTAGGGATGGATATTTTTATTTACTTTAAATACATTGTCATTGTTTTAAAACCAAACGAAATTATAATTGCACACATTGGAGACACTGGTAAAAAATTCTAGAGCTGGCAAGAAAATCAAGATATCCATTTAAGCAAGTCAGAACTTACAGGAAACGTCAATGAAATTTTAATAATATTTAACCAGGGCCGAGGAAAAGGGTTAGAAGGGTGTTTCACAAGTGGCTGCTTTTCTTAAGGAGCTACCGGGGTTCAGTGCTTCCAGAAATAGACGGTGACTTCGTTCATTAACTAAATTAGGACATCAGTCCCCACCGTCTGGTTCATCCTGCGAGTTGGTTTAAGAAACTCTTCTGCCCTTGAGGTGCTGGGAAAGCTGTCACTGAGAGGTTCTAATTGTACAGCGTGACTCACGGAACTGACGTTGACAAGGTGCACATCTGAATAAATGTTGAGTTGAAATTTTATTGGCCACATACACACATATAGATAGATCTAGATGATAGATACAGATATAACATGACAGAAAGTGGAGATGATCGCACAGGATAGCATTCAGCCTGGCTAGACAGTGATGGCAGCAGGTAAAATGATTCCAAATCATGCGAACTTGAAAAAGCAAGCAACTCCAAACACCAGCCTCACCTGTGAGAGCCACCTTTTTATATTCTTGGGTGCAGTGCTGCATCTTGGGTTTCAGGTAGACATAATACCCTCTGATAAAGCCGTGTTGGGATTCGGTGGAGTAATCCTTCCAACTCAGAGTGAAGGAATGGGCGTTCATTTTCTCCACAGTCACTTGAGGGTTGACCAAAGGAACTGGGGGTGGAAATTGGGATGGGAACACAACCATGATTTAGAAAAATCTCTCGGAGCATCAAATCCAATAAGAATAGGACTGTTGCTACTTCTAGAAGCCAAAGGAGCCAAAGCAAGGAGGGTCCTCTGTCCATCACTGGACTGCGGTGAGAGCAGACAAGGAGCCTCGCAGCCCTCTTACTCGAGGCTCGCCTTAGACGTGAAAAGAATGAACACCAGTGTGGCTGAGGAGCCTGCCCCCGTCACACGGCAGAAAGCAGCCCAGAGTCTAGCTTAGACTGGAGTCTAGAATTCGAAGTATTCTTTGGGAGAAGATCTCACCCGAGAACTGTCTGGAGTGAGGAGGAGGACTGACATTCAAAAATAGGAGCGCGAATCTGAACAAGAATCCCAGTGTCCCGCAAGCTGGTGCCATGTTATCCAAAGTTCCAAGCCCAGCATATAGTGGACGTTGGAGAACTGTGTTCCGTAACTGAACTGGATTCCAAGGGCTGAAAATCTTGACAGAAGTCGACCGCCACATCGTCCTCCTAAGAAGTGGATGGTGGCCTCGAACCATCAGTCGTTTGGTTAGCAGCCAAGCAAAAGTTCTCCAAACGTCATAGAAAAAACCCAGAAGTGACCATTGGGAAAGCCTCCCTGATAGGCTTAGAAGACTGGCTTGTGCACACGTAGGCCTCTGCACATACGTAACACACATGCGCAGGAAACACACTGGCTTCTTGCCTGTTTGCAGAGTGCAGATGCAACCCCCCATCCAAAGAAAATCCCCCCCAAGTTGGCCTGACTAGGATGAGGCAAGCCAGGCCCCGCTGCACGGCTCTCCTGGACCGAAATGGCTAATTGACCACCACAGGGCAGCATCAGCCAGGACACCAGTGGGAACACATTTCTGGTTGGAAATTTCACCACCCATCTCAAAAGTTTAACACATTCGTCAAAGAAATGGAAAAAAAGCAAACATTTAAGTTCAAGTCCTTTGACTCAGGTCTTCTATTGTATTTTAGGCTACTCAGGTATTCTACCTTTCAGGCATTTCCAGAAAAAAATAATCAGATATGAATGGCTATTTCACTGAAATGTTGCTGATTCAATGAGGACATAAAAGATCGAAGAGAAAGAGAATTAACATTGGGGACTGTAAGCGAATTCTAGTTTCTACAACCTTCCTTCATGCCCATCCACAGGTGATGTAAGAGAGGCATGCAAAGAGGAACTTGGAAGTCATCAAAAATAATGTGCTTGAGTCGGAAAAGCAGTTTACAGTGCACGGAGCTAAGAGCCCGTTCTGATCTTCAGATACACGGTGTGGGGCGACCGCTGACATCCTTGGGCTCCACAAGGGAGAAGAGCATCCATCTCCACATCAGCCGAGGCGGAGGTCAGACGTGCCTCCACCCTCCATCCTTCTGTACCCTATTCTGACACCACCCATGCCACCTATACATGGGGGCAAAGGGCTATCAGAAGGACACCCAAATATTGACTCTGGAAATTTGCCTTGGGTGACATTATCAATGATTTTGCTATCTTCTCCTTCTGCTTCGCCCCCCCCCCCACCCCTCTCCTTATCTCTTGCTCTGCCTCTCTCTTTCTCTCTCTCGGCTTCACATCTTATAAACTATCTTCACCGAAAACATTGTACATTTGTATGCTTAACGCACCATAAAAAAGCAATTACTAACATCAGCGGAAGGCTGACAATTTGGTAAAGTGCTGACAGCCCCCTGTGCCCAGGGTTTGGAGCCCGTTGACTGTTGGCCCTGCAGGACACATGCGGCGGCGCCATTCAACTTACCCAGTTCCTGGTAGTATCCTGTTTTTTTCTCCAATAAAAAAGCCATCAATTTTGTGGACAATTCATAAATTCTGAAGTTGTATCTAATCCCGGGTCTGAAAGCATCTAGAAAAGAAAAGTCAACTCATTTTCAATATCACAGAAAGACAACCTTTTTCATTTCAGGGTAGAGAATAAAAAGGCGATAGATGATCCTGGAATAAATCCATTCTCATGATTTCTTCACTCCCTGTGCACAGCCTTCTCGGCTTCCGTTAGACTTTGGAGCCCCCACGTCACAAATACCTTGCACCGCGGTTACTGCCCATGCTGACTGGGGTTGTTCGCTCTCTCCTCTTGAACAAGCGCTCCATCTAATATGTCCTTATATGTGTGCTTGAACCTGGGTGCAGTTAGACCAGGCACATCCAACCATTGAAAACCCTCCTTTGACCCTCAATTCCCTTCCAGTCACTTGCCTTTTCTCTTCTCATCCAAAGCCAAGCCTTGCGACGTTTGGCTTCTGCTCTCTCACGTTCCCCATGCCTCTGCCTACTCAGTCTGCTGCCAACACCCACCATTCCACAACGAAATAGATACAGGCGCATCGTGTTCTTGATGCCATTATTCTCAATAGCAAAAAGATGGTACCCACTTAAGTGCCTCAGTGGATGAGCGAGTAAGCAAACTGGCACCCACACAGAAGAGAGTCCCCTGCGACGTCAGAGGAGAATGATGACGCCGTGAGGCGACTCAACACAGATGCTCCAGGAAGACACTGCGGAGCGAAGTCCATCAGTCACAGCCAAGGGACAAGTGCTGCCCATGACCGCTGCTGTCGAATGCCAAGAGGAGATTTACACAAAGAAAGAAATATCCAAGTGGGAGGGCAAGTCATCAACTCCCGGAGAGGCATGCATTCACTGGAGTCGAGTTAAAAGCAATGTCCACAGAGGGGGAGGCCAGATCAAGGCGACAGAAGCCATTGGGAGGAGCACAGAGTGCAAGGTTCCACAGGGAGATACTGTCTACACAATCGTCCAACACCAGTGATCACGCCAATGCCCAAGTGGACACACAGATAAGCATGCAAGCTGAACAGGTGTGGTATGGCAAAGGGGACCCCAAATACATACAGGTGGGGTCGAGGATATTTCTACATATATATTTACATGTATATGCATAGAAATACGCACACATAAATAGACATCTAAATACCCATGTATACACATAGAAATACATATCTAGAATAGTTCCATTAATGTATGAAGCATTCAAAGGGCAAAGTTATGAAGACTTCTTAGTTATAAGAAAACACTTTGAAGGAATGAGTCACTGGCTTTGGTGTGCAGGACCACAGTCTTGGGGGACAGCAAGGTCAGTTGGCACAGCATCGCCCACAAAGACAATGCTCTGCCTTGGTGAGCAGTGATGGAGATCCTAAAGGCTGGTGTGACTGTTGCTCCCCTCCTTTGGATCAAAGAGGGAAGAAAATGAAAGCCATGTGGCAACCGAGATGGATCACAAGCGCCTCACTCGCCTCCATGGCTAGAAGAACTTGATGGTACCAGCTCTAACTACCAACCACTCGGAAAGGGACGGCATTGGAGATCCTGGATAAAGTAAGAGGAAAACGAGAGACAAACCCCACATCATAAAAATAGGCCAGATCGACTTGTCTAACAGACACTGGTGGGAGCCCTGAGCTGCTGGCGGTTCAACTGAGCTCCATCTGGCAGAGGAAGAGGGAGGCATGACCACTGGGAAGGGGAGACACCAGGAAGAAGCAGGGATCACAAACCATTCTCAAGATACAAAACAGGTAGGAATTCCATAGTTATTCTGTAAACTTTCACCCAAATCGCTATGAAAGACAAAACAAATAACTCCCTGCTGTGGGGTCCACCCTGACTCAGAGCGACCCTGAAGGGCAGTGCGGAACTGCCCTTGTGAGTTGCCGAGAGGGAGAAGAAGGCTCCGGCGGCCGGCCGTCTCCCCAGCGGGGACATACCCAGACAACTGTTCCTATCATCCACTGCCCTTCACGGGCGGCCATTCATTTCAAGGGAAAACACATCCTACAAGCCACAGAAAACCACTCCTGGGCTTCCGCCCAGATGTTCTCTATAAAAGTTGAGTTTAGACATCAAATCTTCGAGCACAGCATTACAAAATCTGAACTCTTCCCACCCATGGTGGATTTGTAAAGTCCAAAATATTGACTTTGTTAAGCCAAACTGTCTGGGAGGTGGTTCAGAGATCCTAGGTGAACTTACTGCCAAGAGGATGAAGCAGAATCGAAAGATGGCAGCTTCTTCTTACCGGGGCTGATGACGGTATGTGTGGTCTTGGGACCCAGTTTCTTCCACTGGAGACCATGGAGAGGTCCCAAGGCCTGCTCGTACCACTCCACCACGTAGCCTTCGGCGTCTCCAGAGCGAGGCTTCCAGGACAGCAAGATGCCCTCCGCTGTGCCCACAACTCTTTCTTCTTCGACCTTTTCTGTATAAAACGAATGAATCAATGCTTCAGATTGAACTACCTGTGCATCTTTAAAAGGCATCTGAAGAAGAAAATGAACATGAACATGCAAAGTATTTAACAGCGGGGTGAGACACACTTCCACGCCTCTCACTTTCTAGCATAAATTCACATCTGACCCAGGGTTGTCTCTTATCCAGATCTTCTGAGACCCTCTCAGGGGTCAGCACACTACAGTCTGTGGACAAATGCAAAGGACTTGGTTACTAACTGAAAGGTTGATGGTTTGAACCCACTGTAGTAGTTAAACAATCTGGTGTCAGTTTGAGAGGATTATGAGTGAAGGGGTGGAGTCTGCCCTGTCAATCAAGATATAACCAATGAGGCCTCTGTGTTAGCATGACTTTCTCCTGAGAATTCTGGGAACTCCGGTATTTCCTCCAAGGAGGAACCTTGGAGGTGGGAGACACTGTCTATCTCTGCTGACACCCTGAGAGATGCTCTACTGACAAGACACATGGCGCCATGCCCTGGGAGCTAAAGAAGCCACATGAACCTACCCTGATGCAACCAGATCTCTGGAGCCAGAGAAGCCACATGGAGACCCCTGCCAGCGCTGAGATGCTTACACCGCCACTGGTTCCATAAGACTTTCAACCACTGGCCTCTGATCCTCCTGCATTTGGCATCATTGTATGTATTTCATGAGTCTGTAGAGGACTTCATAGATTGGTATTGGACATATGAGCTAATATTGGACTTATGGACTTGATCTGGACTGGGTTGGAGCACTTTCTCAATATTCAATTGCTCTTGTATATAAACCTTTTTCTTATATATATGTGTGTCTATGAATTTGTTTCTCTAGTTTACCCAGACTAACACACCCACCCGAAGTGTCTAAAAGGCAAAACCTGGCAATCTGCTTCCAAAAGGTGAGAGCCGGGGAAAGGATGGCGCACAGTTCAGCTCTGTAGCACACAGGACCGCCAGGGGTCAGGGTGACCAGATGCCAATTATGCCTTTTACATTTTTTAAAGGGTGCAAAAACCACCACAGCCACAGCAAGAAAAAACAAGGAAGAATATAGGATATATTAAAGAGATCGTGGCAATCCACAAAGCCTAATACGTTTATCATCTGCTTTTTTTCCCTAAAGAATTTCGCTGACCCATGACCCAGAACAGCATCTGGACTCAGTCTGCATTCCAAAAAAATGCGTGTTTCATATTGAATGAATGATTGAATGGTGAGGTGTGATTCACCACTAGAAAGCTGGCCGCCCATGAACAAATGACTGCTCCTGAGAGGTTAGGGGTCGAAGTCAAGGTGGGGATGAAAAAAGAAAAAAAAGAAACATTAAATAGCTACGAAGTCTCATTATGCAAACACATTCATATGTCCCAAGACAGAGGCTGCCATGCCCACACATTTTATAGGCCAAGCAAGTTCGCCGAAGGGCTGCCTGATCAGTGGAAAGGTGGCCATGGCCTACTGGCTGTACTCATCTCAAGCAGGATCCCTCCTAGCCCTCAAATCAGGACTTCGCCTTTACGCAGAGGCTGCTTCACTGCCTCTCACTGCATCGGGCCGTGGTCCATGCTGGTTAAAGATTGGAAGCAGACTTCCATCACACAGCTGCTCAGAGCACAGGCAATGAGGAGTGAATCCTGCCTGGGACTTACACTAACAGCATCGTCATTGTTAATCTGAAAGGTAGATGCTATGGGCCTCTTCTATTAGATTTGGCAATCCTAATTACAGCTGCACAAATACTTACCGAAAAAACCAAACCCACTTCCACTGAGTTGATGCGGATGCCTGGATCCTATAGGGCAGAGTAAAAGTGCCCTCGTGGGTTTCTGAGATGGTCATTCTTTACAGGAATAGAAAGATCTATCTTTCTCCTGAGGAGCAGCTGGTTTCGAACTGCCAACCTTACAGGTCAATGCATAACCACTACACCACCAGGGCTCCTTAGCCAAAGAATGTTGGTGTGGAGGAGTGTAAAAGAATGTGTAGCCCTTGATAAATGGTAAAAGGCTACAAGCGATTCCTCACAGCTTTCCTGAGGTTGAAATTCTTCTCTTCCCTCACCCACACTGACTGACATGCTATCTATTATCGAGCTGCCTCTTTCAAATTCTTTTTTTTTTAACTTACAGTAACTTCTTTATTATTATTATTATTATTGGGATTTAATCTATATTATACCATAGTTCAATCACGTCGAGCAGTATTGTACAAGAGCAGCTTACTGGGTCTTTCCTCCTGCACAGCACCTGGTGGGTTCAAAAAGCCAATCTTGCTGTTCTTCACTGAAAGCCCTCCCACAAGGAAGATCGGTGAGCTGGAAGGAGCCTGGGTCCCTGAGAATGATGGAGGCGCTTAGAAATTCTTAAGTTTTCTGAGATAGAGGGAAGAAGTCAGGGAAGGTTTCCCCAGTCATGAACACCATAGTGTGAATTAGCTTTACCTCACTGTTTTTTTTTCTCATAGCCCATTGATGGCTTTATCTCCATTGGTGAATATAAGAATGGGAAACATTCAGTGAAGGCTGCATCGGTACTTTCAAAGGAAAGTCTGGGATTCTGGAGGCTGGAGGATAGAGAAATGGGCCCTGGTGGAGCAGTGGTCAAGTGCTTGGCTGCTCCCTGAAAGGTCGGCAGTTCAAAACCAAAGTCATCTGTAAGAAAAAGATGTGGTAATCTGCTTCCATAAAGACTGCAGCCTTGGATATTTTGTGGGCATTTACAGTCTGTCCTAAAGGATCATTATATATTAGAATCCAGTCAGAGGCAATGGGATTATGGGCTTTTATTTAGCGGTTGAGATAGTTAAAGATTATTGTGCCAACCTGCCGATAAACACATGTGGGATTAATTGAAGGGCGCAGGGATAAATGGCTCAGTGAGCTTCGCCTTTCTAGTTCTCAGTCCCTTGCTTTGTGATGGTCACCCCAGGGTGCAGCTGCCTTAGCCAGTTCCCTGCTTCAGCTGGCAAGGCTCACTTCCTGCAGGACATCCCC